CGAGTGCCGGCGCCGAGCGACGAAGATTTCTCACTCTCGCTGCTTGCGCCGCTCGGTTCCTGGGCTTCTAGAAAACGTCGCTCATCACCTTGATCGCTCGCACCAATCGCTTTCATAATGTGTGTCTCGTCGCGCAGCTGACTACCGTGTTTATTCAAATATATGTCGACCTTTTTTTTTCTTTTCTTTTATTTATTTTTTATTTTTTTTCGGAAATCGTGACTAAAGAATTTCGACCTACATTCGCGACGAAATTTTGCGACCGTACCGGAGGCATGAAGCTATCGAGTCACAGAGCCGGCGTTGCCGTAGAGCTGCGCCGCTTCTTGTTTCCAAAGGCTTTTGTTAAACAACCGAAAACAACGGCGATGGCCGATGCCGCTATCGCGCGCACCTCTTGGGGCATTGGATTTCGCCATCGCACCTCTAGCGTTCCCCTTGCTGGGCAATGGGGAAGGAGAGGAACGCGATGCGCCATGCACTTTGTCCTCCATCCTCGCAAACGCGCACAAAAAAAAAAAAAAAAAAAAAAAAGATGTTACTTTTGTTAGTTGCTTGAGGCGGCTCGGCTCGCGTGTTGCTCATGGCGACACGGCGGCTTTGTTTGCGTCTTTGTAGTTTGTCTTTCGTTGCTTCGCGCCTTCTTTCGTTTCTTGTCGTCATTTTACAACGGTGTCAGTGAAGTATTGTGGCGGATTTGCGAGGATGTCTACCAAGCTGTGAAGTGATGTAAATAAAGGTTTCTTTCTTTTGCCCAAAATTTCCCCTGTTCTTAAAAATAAAAAAAAAAGTCGACCTATATTTGAATTTTTTTTTTTTTTATTCTCGGTGGGTCCAACAAATAGAGTTCGACCTATTTTCGAGTAAATACGGTAACTTTAATTTTTATTTTGGGTTACGTCGGACGTAACTCGAATGCTTGACAGTTACGTTGGGCGTAACTTTAATTTTTATTTCGGGTTCCGTCGGACGTAACGTTAGACACTGCGTTACACTTAAGAAAAATAGGGGCTGATGGTTCATCATATAAACCAACCATTTGTGTTTAATTAAAGCGAATCACTGGCCTAAAAAAAATACTGCTGTCCTATAGGAATGTAGTGCTTCAGATAAATTTGTTAATTTTTGCTTTTAGTCTCTGCCCCACCAGATACAACATCTGGCCTAAAGCAGTGTTCCGGATCTCCTTCCAAGACCTCAGGCGGGTCGTCATTCAATCCAGGAGGCGGCGGCGTCTCATGGGCGTGTTGCTGGTGCTTCTTACTGGATGGTGCTACCGAGGGAAAAGTGGTCGTGCTTGGGAAAGGCAAGTATGGCCGCCGTAAGTATAGATATTGTTTTTACCTTTGCTCGAACCCACCTTTAAGAAATGCACAGTTCGCATGTGTGCATCTCTCAATGCTTCTACAGTCGGCTGTTAATATTTGGAGTGCTCCAACTCTGTCAGTGCTAGTTTCTCTAGATTATGCAAATGGGATGCAACACTAAACCACATATGCTCTCGCAACAAACAGTGCTCTGCTGAAGCACGCACTGTGGAATCTACTCTGGCTTTATAATGCAGCACAAAATAGTTGACGCCAAATATAGCTACTTTTGTGACTCCGTTTTACCAAAAGCTCTGCCGAAATAAACTTGCCACCTTATAGGTAGTGCAAAAGAACCTCGCGTGCCTAACCTGGAGAAGGGCATTTTTTTCATAGGTCAATTTTTTCTTAAACCAATACCTTCAGCCTCCTTGAAATGTTAACATCATGTGACACTCAGAAGAACAGTAAACCCCTTAATGTTGGCGAACCTTTAATTTTCGCGGCCTTTAATTTTGCGGAATTCAGTGACTGCGATTATGTCCTCTGTGACCGATTCGAGAAGAAATAGGGGCCACCAAGATAAGGGGGTTTTACTGTCCATCGGAGGAGAGAGGAAGTCACCTTTGTTTGTATGCAAGAGTAAAACCAACAACAACAATCATGGTGCCGACACTTTGTGAGCCTATCTGTGTCTATTGAATGATATCAATTTTGTTTTTGTTCGTTAAAAATTGTTGCCTGTCCACTGTGGGATGTCGTCTTCAACACGAGCAGTGGTTTTCCTCTGAAGCAGGCAGCATGGACGCGTGCCGCAGCACAACATAGTTTATTTGCAGGTGGTACCGCAGTTTGAAGGATGGTTCGCACAATATGGGGGAATCGCAATTCAATGTTCTACCTCGGGCGTAGACAAGATTTGCTCATTCTAAATCATTTTGTCTACAAATCGGGAACTTGCAACGAATGTACCCGCATGGTTGGAAGGGCCAGACAAGCCTTGCGAGCGCTTCGTTTTCTAGCCTCTCAGTCCTGAACCTACTCACGCACCACATGTGTAGATGTTCCGGTACGTGGGAGCACTTATTTGGAAAATGGTGAATGGCAACTGTTGTTATCTTTAAGGTGGACTGCATATTTGCAGTACTTTTCCTCACTTAAAAATATGTCTTACTAAAAATATGTAGTATAGCCGATGACAAAAAGAGAATGGCTGGGCGTCCTCCAGCACATGCTTGTGCTTTTCACCCCGCTTTAGACAGATGTGCTCGCTCCAGGCTCATCAGGCGCTGAAACGTCATCGAAGGTAGCAGACGGGCTGGAGGTCGAACAACGGAGACTTCTCCCTGCCTTTCAGATGGTGTCAGTGAGCATGTACTTCTATACTCTAACTTAGCTTAACCTGCACAGAGCTGAGTAGAATAGGCTTGGCAAGTGCCCTTATTGCATATGCATTTGTACAGCTGAGGCACTTTCTAAATCAAGAACATTGTGTACCTTACCTTCAAAAACACATCATTTTGGGGGTGCAAAAGGAATTCTAAGGCATATTTTTGTTTGTATTGTCCTATTACGCATCGACTCCTTCAACTTAATGCGGAGTCGACCCAGCCTCTTGAAAAATTTAATGCTTGCCAGGTAATTGTTTTGCATTTAGTTGATATATCAGTATTCAGTTAGGTATCCCAAGTCATTAGTCGTTGAGGTGGAGTCTCTCTGTAAGTCAGTCATGTTTAACAGTCATAGAAATGCTTGTCAAATAATGGCACTGTCGAGGACATGTATTCAGCTCGAACAATCGCTGGGCACAAGCTGGTCGTGTGGTTACAGGCAGCAAACATCCCGGTTGGAATGTCCTATTTCGCAATGTAGCTGCAGACTAAATGAGGGCCCCACTCATAAACGTCTATACTTTTAGTCTCTTTAAGCTGGACCACTTTTGAAACTACAAGCCTTTGCAGCAAAAACAGCATGACGCATGATTATAAGCTCGACGTACCATGGCGTCCAACTAGAAGGTCACATGGCTTGCTTTGTGCACTGAATTTGCAAGGATGGCTTGAAGCTTCTGTCGTGGTTAACTTTAAGCTGAGATAGTTTAAAATAATGCTCTCAGTTTTTAGTGTTGCCCGGCATGGTTAACAAGTTGGTGATATAGCGCTGCATTGAAAAGTCTGTGCATTCATGACTGTATCACCTTATGAATGCAAGCTACCTATTAAACTCTTCGTTTTTCAGAGAAATGAAATGCACTTTGCTTCCAATTGCACCCGCTTCTGTAACTTCATGGTATGAAGCACCTTATGGCTGCAAGCTCTGACCGATCTTGTTCTGTGGTCTGCGCAGGCCCATATGAGGGAGTCACTCCGAGAGCCTCACCAGAGTTTCCTGCCCGTGGTCGTTCTAAATGTTTTTGTTGTAGGTATGCATCCTTTCTGTCTTTCCCTTAATTGTACTCAAACGTCGTCTTTTCATTGTAGCCGATTTGCCTCAAAATTGGTTAAGCACACAAATGCACGCTGTACAACTGTATTGTACATATTTTTTCCAAGGTAACTTTTCTTTGCCAAAGTTTGATTTTTTTATGAAGGTTAGTCTTTTTTTTGTTTTTATTTTCAAATTTATGTGAGTTTCCATGGGCAACACTAAAACGTTATGCCAGAAGCAAGGACAAGTTCACTGCTCTAATTTGTTCTCAACTGATTGCAAGAAATTTCGTTAATGTTGGAAACCTCCTTCCAGCGCTTGCTTTGCAACATAAAAAAAAAATTATACATAGGACATCTCTGTTTCTTAAACTGCTTGCTCATTCTGCAGGTCTGCCTGCCATAGATGTCGTGCTACTGGAGAGCAGGCGAATTCGATTGCTGGTTTTGCCATTGCGTTTTTTTAGACGTTGTCTTAGTAGTTCTTGTAAATTTTGAGATTTTCCTAAAAAGCAAGCCGGGAAGAATATTTAGTTTAGTTAGGAAGCTGAAAATAATGATTTCCCTATTGGAAAAACGTACAAGAAATATACCTGCTGCCTCTACAGTTCTGGTATGACACCATCATAATTTCTTGTTATTATACATGCAGCTAGTTTGGTTTGACGTTCTGCATAACTGGAGATACCGGCACCGCTATAGCTTCACGTCTGTCTATAGTGGCAGTCAGTTTGCTTGCCGACAAAATTTGGTGTGGCTGGTATGATTTTGCGTGCGATGACGTAGGCGACCACCATCTTTCCAACGCAACGCTTATATATCAGGATCACCGGTATCACCAAATCATACATGCAGAACGGCGACTGCGATCTTCCATCAAAACGTCCATCTTCTACCACCGGTATCATTACATATGCCATACATGTCGAAACGGAACATAGACCGACGTTGAGCTCACACGAATTCCTCGGTCAACTCGTCCCGGCGACGTCTTGGGGCGACTGTCTCGAATAATGTGCATCACAAGTACCCGACAGCCGCACCAGCCGTACCGCACAGCAAAGCCAGCGTGGACGGCACGGCAACAAACCGACCGTGACATCAATCCTAAGAAACCGCATCACCGGTCGGCAGCGACGAACGGGCCGTTGCTCGTACCGTGGGCCGTACTCGTGACTCGTACTCGGTCAAATCGGCTTTTTTCGTGGCTCCGCCAGCTCCGCCGGCTTCTGCGTTCCGTTGGCTCCGTCTTCGGCTTGGCGATATCGCATATCGCCGTGCCATCCCCGACGGAAGCCGCGTCTCGCTGGGCGGCCGGGTGGCTGCATCCGAGGCCGGCGGTCCGAGTAGTCCTAGTGATATGGTGCCGACGTCGCTTCCTACTCTACGGCGCCGCGGTCCTCCTGGGCGGCTCGCTCGCGGCGGCCACTTCTGGATACGATCGCCTGATATGTTCCGGACCACGGGGCGACCCAACCAACTGGATTAACACCGAACACAAAGGTATTCTTTTCGATCCGCTCCCTTGTCTTTCGCTCTGAGTTAGCTTCTCGCGCAGGGCTCTCCGCTCGCGGGGCCTCTGCGTCGCCAGCGGAGATAACTTAATTCTCACCGCGGTGCGTTTCCGCGTACCGGCGGCCTGAATCATAGGAGCACCGACAATCCTGAATAAGGAAGGTCGCGTGTTATGGGGCAACTCGCACGCCTAGACAAGCTCGGGCGCGCTCGGCGCTCGGTGACAAATTGGTACTACGATTGACACTTCAATCGCGGCGTAAGGCTAAGGGAACAAAATCCCATCTGGCCACAATTTTTTATCCTTCCGGCCCAGTTTTTATTTATTTATTATTCTGATTCGGTCCTAATTCGGCTTAACATTAGGTTTGTCAGGGCTCCTTGGTGGTGCTTGGCGCTGGTGTTTTTCGTGACGGCCAACTACTAAGATTTAAAGAAGACTAGCTCAACTTCTGTGAAGAGGAATTGACCTCTTCGCAGAAGTTGAGCTAGTCTGGAAAGAGGAAAGAGGGTTGGCTGGCTGGCTTTTTTGTGCGGCTGGCGTGGCGCGGCGGCGCGAGTTAGCGGCGCGACACTGGGGCAACATCCCCCTCCCCTATCCCAAAACAAAGGTGACATATTGAGCCTCCGGCTCAACAACACTTCCTTTGATTTCCTTACTTTCAAAACTCTGACTGACTGACTTCTGCCCGACGTGTAGGGTGCATCAACGAACACAACGCACAATCTTCCTGCTGGTCGGGTTGAGTTGCCAGGATCGGCCAAGGCGTGAATCGTCGCTGCCGATGGGAATCACACCAGCACACTGCTGGGCTCGCCTCTCCTGGCTACACGGGCGTTAATCGTCGCTGCCGGCGGGAACCACGCCAGGACACGGCTGCGCTCGCCTCTCCTGGCTAAACGGGCGAGGCTGCGAACTCCGCTGGCTTCGAAGGACAACCGTATGTGCAATAATAGCTGTACGTGTCGATGTACGATAGTACATTGACAACAAAGTTAGTAAAGCTTGGCAGTTGCGTACCAACCTGTTTTTCAGTGAGGGGGCAAACAATACCCCCGCCCCGCCCCCCGCCGCCCCCCCCCCCCCCCCCCCCCACACACACACACACCCACACACCCAGGGCCGGGGGGCGGTGCCCTTGTTATCCCTTGAATGCCGCCGGCCAGCGCTTGCCCTGCCCAGAGGCGGCTGTTTCGGGGGGGGGGGGGGGGGGGGGCATAACGCATGCCTTGCCCCCCCCACCCTGAAAACTAGGGGGACAAGTGCCCCCCTTCAGTGGCGTACGAACTTGTTTTTGAGTGGGGAAGCAAACCATACACGCCGGGGGGGGTGCCCTTGGTATCCCTTGGGTGCCGCAGGCCAGTGTTGGCCCTCTGCAGTGGCAGCTGTTTAAGGGGGGCAAGACACATACCTTGCCCCCCCCCCCCCACTCTGAGAACTGGGGGGGCCAGCGGCCTTGCCCCCCCACCCCCCCCCCCCAGGTTGGTACGCCCATGCCCCTTGCCCTCCCGGTTGCCTTCATGGCCCATGAAGCTTGGCGATTAGTAGCATCATGAATTTTGACAAAGTGCCGATGTTACGGTCGGGTACGGATGACTTGACCTGGGGGTCAGACTGCATATTTTTATTTTTCAGCTAACTATATCGGACATTATCTGCTTAATTAAGTGACAATATATATCAAAATAAATGTTTCCACTCCCTTTTGTGGTCTGCAGAAAGCAAATATTATCAATTTATTTATTTATTTAAGTAACATCAAGGCCCTGGGTCATTACAGAGGGGAGTGGTACAAGACAAATCTGGAACACAAACAATATACAAACACTAAAAGCCCACCACAAAAAATGTAAAAAAAAAATGCATTTCGGTGTCTTTCTGATGGGTGTCCCAAGCAGAGGTCTGCATTTTAGGTCGCCCTCACTCACCCTCACCCTCACAGCCACACTCACCTAAGCCCCTCCCTCACCCTCACAGCTACACTCACCTTCAGCCACTCACCTTCAGCCCCTCACTCACCCTCGTCCTCACAGTCGCACTCACCTTCAGCCAGTGGCGTCACTAGGGTCAGCGGCACCCGGGGCGGTGGCCCGCGGCTACACCCGCCCCCCCACTCCCGCTCATCGCCTGCCGCGACCCCTCCCCCTCGGGTCCCGCCGCGACACCCCTAGGAGCGCTGCATTCTGGGCGATCTGCCCCCCCCCCCCCTCCCCCCAGCACCCCCCTTGTGACGCCACTGCCTTCAGCACTTCACTCACCCTCACTGAACCTCACGGCCCTCACACACTCATGGCTCTCACACCCCTATGGCCCTCACGCCACTTACCGCCCTCACGCACTCACGGCCGTCGCAGCCCTCACGTCCCTTACCACCCTCATGGCCCTTGCGCACTCATACCCCTCACGCACTCATGCCACTCGATCAGGCTCGCTTCAGATGGGGCAACATCGCCCAGAAACTTGACGTCGCAACACCAGCAACACGGGCCGCCCGTGTTCACACGCAGCAACCAATTGCTGCGATTTGTCATCGTCATGAAATTTTATTTTACTTGCACTATTTAGACGTACAATTACGCACTATAAACATATTTTTATGCATTTAAATCTCGTTGAAAATACTAGTGCATCTTTCTAAAACAGTTTATTTCCACAAACGTGATACCCCGTGTTCACACGCAGCAACCAATTGCTGCGATTTGTCATCGTCACCAACACGAGGTATCACGCGAGAATATTGCATCCATGATTGGACGCAGCCGTTTCAAACGTTTTCGAATTGCTCAGAGTTGCTCGCTTGTTTCGAGCCGAACCCGATCTCGACACTTCCTGTCGATCTAGGGAAAGCTAGGGAACAACCCACCAGCAACACCAAAATTGCTGAAAATGTTGCTCAGTCTGAACAGGGCCACACGCACTCACCGCCCTCACGCCCCTCACGCACTCACCGCCCTCGTACCCCTCACGCACTCATGCCACTGACACACTCACCGCCCTCACGCCCTCATGGCCCTCTAACCCGTCACGCACTAACTGCCCTCACGGCCCTCATACCCCTACGCACTCATGGCCCTCACGCCACTCACCGCCCCCAAGCCCCTCACGCACTCACGGTCCTCACGGCCCTCACTCGCCCTCACACTCATGAATTTTCCTGGTTCAGAAACTGACTCACCCTCACCTCACCCGTGAAGATGAGGGTGAGTGAGGGGCTTGAGGGGATCGGCAAACCTCATATGTGAGTTTTGCCGAGGTATGGTCCCAAGTATCGGCCAGGCTCTTTAAATCAACCGCAAAATTCGGTTTCTTAACCTATCGTGCTACCATTTTGTGCAGCGTTGCCCATAGATAGTGTTTTTTTGTTGTCGTTTTTTTGTAAAATTTGCAAAGAGTGAATTAACTTGAGGAAAAAGTAAAGAAAGAAAAAGGCTTAGCTCCTATAAAAACGCAGCGAACTTACCGGTCTTTAAACAATACGGCGCAGTTTCGCACGGGAGACGAGATGGCACAAGCGGTCGCGACGCCAACTGCTGCCAACAAACCAGCATACGGCGCTGAGAGCTGGCGTCTTTAGCAGACAATCTTTTCGACTCAAAAGCGGCACACGTTCCGCAGACGACGACAGTCGCAGAAACCAAAACGGGCGTAACAAGGAACTGCAAAGCAGACGACATCAGTACTACGAAAAGAGCAGTTTAAATAACGTGACAAGGCATTTTTTAATCGATTATGTGTCCATTCAATGTGTTTTATTAGTAAGGATGGTAAAATAATGCATTGGCAACCGATACGTAAAAATCTCGTGCCGCTTTTGAGTTGAAAAGATTGTCTGCCAGAGACGCTGGCTCTCGGCGTCGTATGCTTGTTCGTTGACGGTAGTTGGCGTCGCGACCGCTTGCACCATCTCGTCTCGCGTGAGAAACGGTGCCGTGTTGTTTGCAGACCGGTGGCTTCACTGCGTTTCCATAAGAGCTAAGCCTTTTTCTTTCTTTACTTTTTCCTCAGGTAAGTTCGCTCTTTGCAAATTTTACAAAAACGAATACACCATCTGTGGGCAACGCTGCACAAAATTGTAGCCTTATAGGTTAAGAAACCGAATTTTGCGGTCGATTAAAAGAGCCTGGCCGCTACTTGGGACACTCGGTATACTACCTTTAATTTCCCTTTGTTCATTATGCTCATCTGTCGATTCTTTGATAGCTTAAACCATTTCACGAATGAACAGCTTTAAAGTATGTAATACATATGCCCAGTTTGCCATTTCTTGAGCAAGCTGTATGAAGACTTTAATGAATGCTATTCAAACTGCTTAATGCTGTAACAAGTTTCTGACTGCAAGAATCATCCTCCATCGGTTCATTCTAACCACTGGACATGCGAGGGTTGAGTATTTTCATATTCCAATCATGCTTCTCTAGTAGATAGCTTTCACCAACGTAATTTGGTCCTTTCTGGTGACAGAACATCCTCGAGCGTTTTCTTCACTGCATTTATTTTACACAGAAGACGTCGTACGTCAAAGCAAGCAATGAGTAGGAGTAGCTGCCACCAGTTCGATATGACATCCCATACAACTGAAGCAAAACAATGTCGTCTACAGCCCTCGGAGGCGTTGGTCTCTTCTTGTCCTAGCTGTTCACAGGCATTTTTCTTCAACTCATGTGTATGAATGGTTGTTTCTGTATCATTGCTTTTGTGGAATTTTGCACTATTGTCGGCTTTTGTGAGTTTCCATGTTGCCCCGACTGCTCGCAACCATAGAAGGGTTGTGCCTGTAAAAGCTTGGACTTACGAAAAGCCCGTTTATCCAACACAGCCGTAAAAGCTTTGGAAGGTGTCGTCGATCCCCCAAACAGACACAGGAAAAGAACCGGAAACTGAGATACCACTGAACATGCTTTTCACCCTTAATTCACAAGTATGCAGACATCTATGTCGACCAATGCTGGACAATCTGACAAAAAGCTTTGCACACAAATGTTTATCGCAGGTATGCACATGTGCTTTGGATACATAAAAGTGAATACACCCCCAAGTTCAGACGAGCGCTTCATCAGAATGCTGGCAAACTTAGTAGTGTATCGTATAGTTCTGCAGTTAACTATCTCTGATAGGCATTTTACGGTGAGCTGTTTTCATACGAGATTTTCACAAGGTAGCTTTTTAGTTCTATTTGTATGTGAGATCACCATTATGGAAGGCACCTAGTGAGATGTTTATATGCTCAAAGTAATTGTGGGCTTCAAATTTGCAGGTTTAATGTGCACTGAATGCTTAAAGTAAGACAATCCGAATATAAATGGTGGAAAGAAGGGTCGTCGGAGTTTTCATTAAACGTCTGCTGCCAGTAGGGAAATTGTCTTGTCCGTCCTTGTGTTTTGTTTCTCCCTTTATTTATATTATCCTTACCATCACGCTCTCCATTCCAGGTAAGTAGAGAATCCTGTTGCAAAGCATCCACCAAAAAACATTTTTATTGACAAAAAGGTTGAATTATGGCACAACTCGGGGTTTTCATTTTGTTAAAATCAAGAACTATATAAGTGTAGGTACAAAAAATAGAGAGGGTCAAAGAGGTCATGTCAAAAACTCAGAGAGGACGTTTCTGGTTTGTCTTTTCTTTCTGCATCATTCTTTCCAAGCAAATGCTGTCACCCACAAACTCCAAGGATCCTGGCCCATTTCGAGCTACATGAGCATTGTACTGCCACATGCTCTTGATATCACTGCTGTGTGATGCATGTTAAATACCCCAGACTAGCAGCCATACAGCACTGGCTAAATTTCTCGTCTACAGCATGAACCAGTGTCGCCAAATCTCAAAACCAGTTGTCAATCTCAGGCTGTGTAATGAAACGCTCACAAGTTTGCTCTGCTTTCTGACACAAAAAGAAATGCTTCAGCCTACCCAGCTTTACACTTGCCCAAAACAAACTTTTGTAAGAAGCACAAAGATGGTTTTCGGAAGCTGAAAAAGACCAACAGGTTGCATTGCTATCCTCCAGGTTCACCGCTGAGTTAGCTAGCTTGACTTATAGTTTGCCTCGACTGCTGTGAGAGCAGCAGAAAAAAGGAATAAATACTTCTCAACCCAGGGTGTTGTTTTCCACAGTCCTGTTTAAACAATGCTGTGGGTGAACAAGTCTCTCCTCCCGTCTCCTCGTCCTCTCAGGAGTAGAGGTGAACCGTCGAGTAGAGATCTAGAAGTCAGCAGTGGACCTGGTATGTATGAGTTTAAACGTGTTACCCCTTTCGAAAGTTTCGAAGACATGACATTAGTCTCTTTCGATGTAATTCGGGAGGTCTGCAACGTACATGCAATCCTCAAAGCTGAAGTCCATCAAAAGGCAGCAGCCCTCAATGTCATCTGGATCAATTACAGAAGGTGTCAGAAGCTGTGACACAAAGCATTCTTTAATGTGGCCAGGAAACTGAGTCGATTCGATGGGCACTACTTTTGTGCATAACAGGACACATTTCTCTTCGTCTGCGATAGTTAGGGTGACAATTTTGTTAATAATGAAGTAGAGGCCTTCTGTTGTAGAAAATACTGTTGTGTCAGATTTGACAGCTCTCACATAGTTTACACTGTGATACACTTTACCTTTGCATATCATTCTTAGATACTCTTGGCCAGTCCCTGAGGATTGTCCGAACATGTTTACAAAACACTCCTGCTCCGCCAACGTGAAAATGACGACTTTGCCTGTGCCGAGAAGGCACACCTCCCTAACATAAGTGCTCTTCTGAACTCTTTTCTCCCCTAGAAGTCGCTTGGCGATTTCCGTGAGTTTCTGAGGCAACTTGTCAGCATTTACGATCGCCTCCACTTGCTGGGCCATTAATGCCCGCTCAACAATTTGCAGTGGTACTCCCTTCGCTGCTGTCACAAGGTTGAGGATGCTCCCATTGCCGGATTCAAACACAAAGGCTGAATGTGCCCACAGCGGGCCCATCTGCCGTGCCGCCTTCCCAAGATGAAGGAGTTGGTGGATGTTAAAACGCATAAATGAGTCACCGTACAGGCTTGCGGCACTAGCCACAAACTGTTGCAGAAGGTGTTCTGAAACACAAGAAGACAAATGAACAAAATGTAAAGACAGGAATGAAGTATGAAGGTTATACTTATTGTAATGAACACGTACGCTAAGACCTCAAAACAGAATGTGCGTAACAACATATAACGGTGGGGCTTCCTGCATCTGTGCTGTCCTGTACGTTTTGTCTTCAATCCTGGCACTTTGCCAACACGGTACAGAGGCGCTTAGAGCAATAAACTGGCAGCTGAAAGTGACCCCCACCGGTGGTCTAGAGGTAAAAAATGTTGCAGATTTTTTACCACTAGACACGTGACCTTAGATTTTTAATGTCTAGCTTTTAACGAAGTACTGCACACAGATAATTGCTTAATTATTGATATTTAATAACAGTACCGACGAGATAAGTCATGCTTCCATTGTTTTAAGTCCAAAATGTGCTTTTACGACAAAAACACGGGCAGCCATCAGCCACAGTGCTGTATTTTGGGCTTTTATCCGAGCTAGACACTGATCTCTAAGGCTCACAATATTGAAAAATAGTTTATCATGTTTTTTAGTGATCGTAATACAAATCTCGGCTTAGGTTTTCGTGGAAGCCTCAGGATTTGCTATGATCACGTATTCAGCGGTGTGATCAATCTGATAACAGCCAGGGGGTAAGGGTCACTTTTGCCTGGTGAACGGGATACCAGTTCATCGCTCTAAGCCCTCTACCTTGTTGCACTTCGCTCACAACTGCAGGATTGTAATTATGATGACAACACATTAATTCATGTTTATCTAGTCTCAAGATCAGCACTGTGTTTTCTCTAGCCAGTGGCGCAGCCAGGATTTAGTTGCGGAGCGTGTTCGACCACTTAGGACAATAAAAAGTTTAAAAAAGCACCCCGGGGGGAAACACAAATTCTTGCACTGGCGGTGCGTTAGGTTGCATGCACAAAAGTGTTATGAATTTCTGCTAAACAAACAGAATCATATCTTAGATCATACATAGTTCTTTTACACTTCAGTTTCTGTCTCCAAATGCGTTTTCTCCACAGATTGTGCACCTGAAGTGTTATTTGTTAGTGCTTCACCTGCTGGTCATAATGACAACTCCAACGTACCCGCTATTCTCCGCCATTGTGAACGGCAGTACTCAAGCAAGCAGCGCCTTTATGCAACTGTCGGTTAATTTATAAAGAGGGGGGGAAGGGGGGGGGCGGTTATAAGCATATGTCTGTCTGTCCTGCTCACGCTGCAACCAGCTGACAAACGGCAAACAATGTTCTCAATTTCATGGCATCTTGTGTCGCTGAGTGCCAAACTTCTTATCCAGAGTGGTCTTCAGGAAGGCCAGTTTCAGCTGTTTTGCTTGCTTAGTAGTTCACAAAACCGAACCAGTTACTATTCCCTTCCTTTCCTTACGGGAATGTGCAAGCCAAAGAGAATGACAGCAAAAGGTGATAGTAACTTCTACAGCGACAGCTGTTAATGGCTAAATTCGCCGGATTCTGGCTGACGCCATTGGCAAATACTTCTGGCACGGAGTAAGATATACCCTTTAAGTGAGGACAAAGTGCTCCTAAATACACGGTGAGATCAATCCGATAACATTCAGTCAACGAGCGCTCAAAAAGGCCGCATCATCCCACGGCCACCGTGCCCACGGCTGAGTGCTATCGGCCGGCCAAATGGCACAACTGCGAGAGCGGACAAAATTCCCCCAAGAAAGCAAAGAAACAAGTCCCAAGATGACTCCAGTTCAACGAGTCGTCTTCATGCGCAGCTTGAAATCAAAGCAACCAGCGAACTTTACCTGGCAGCTGCGTAGAGCGTGCTGTACATGCCTGAAGATTATCTTACACCCTGGCTTCTGGGAATATTATCAATTCATGAGAAAGGAGCTGATAGCTAGCATCTTTTAGAAAGTGATGCAGCCAATGTGCTCAGCTGCTCCACTGCCGATAGCAAGCAGACTGAGCGCGCAGAGGCTTCATCGCTTTCCTGGGTCCACGCAAAACAGCAGACTCACCGACTGATCACTATGCGCAACCTGCAATGACGAGGCAGTGCCAGCAGAACCGAGGGTTGGCGTTTCTATATCGCTTCACCATGAGTTGGCTAAGAACATTTCTACGGACTCCGTGAGCCAGTTAAGGTGCCAGGAAGAGCACTCTGCCGGTATGTTGTCACATGCCTCATTTCATCGCTCTCATTCATTCGCAGGGTCCATCGCAAAAAGTTCTGGCTTCAGCCGCTACGCTAGGCAGTGTTAGCAGATCGAGAGCTTAGGTCTGCACAATACGCCAGCAAAGTCTTGGCCTACCACAACGGTTCTTGCGCCAGTGCGGAGTAGCTTCGACCCAGAAGAGTCAACTCCGAAACCCGCTAGCACAACACAAAAGTTCGACGAGGGCGTTGAGGGATAGCTCAAGACGCCACAAGGTTCGAGACGACACCTGCCAAATTTCGGTGGATGTTCGTCTACAATTCATACGGCTACTCCTGTGACGTTTCTGACCACCTGTGGTTCCAGCAATACATCAACGGCGCACAAGAGACTTACAAGTTGGTCCTCTATTCAAATTGAAAAATTATCAATCGCATTTCGGTAAATGGTTACAATTCAAAATCAGAAATTATTCAATCCACCTTTTATAGCTGATTATTCTGAATCATTACTACCAGCTGTTGCTGTCTCTCATATTATGCGATAGCTTAATGTCTTAACATAAGCGATAGCTTAATGTCATAACAGTTTTTGTTAGTCTTGTGTCACTTCTTGAGAGTGTTGACAAGGTGGACAGTCTTGGAAAACTTTTCGGAGAGGTTTGAACCCCCCATATCCCCCACTCTGGCTGTGCCATTGTCTCTAGCTCAAACAGAGCCACGAGCAAAGTCCTCAATCAAAACAGAGCTGCCAGTATCTTTTTAGCTCTGAAAAGGGAGCTGCTGTTTCACAATAGCAGTTGCGTAGGATAGTTTTGAAGTAATTAGAATGTAATTTTGTAACATCCATCTATGTCACATACTGCAATCTGCTGTGTATATTTCTACGAGCCAATCACACTCACTAACACCCGCGGGGAAGGAGGCTCGCAACAATTGCGTCTTTATAAAACGTTCGGTCTCATGGCTAATTCTTCATTCGTAAATCCAGATATAACACATTCACCAGTAACTCAGCGTTATAATATGAAATGTGACAAATTACAATTATAATCATACCGGCATGCTTTATCCGAGATTCGTTGAGGTTCGTGGAGAGCAGGATGAAGATTGCTTCGGACAACTTGGACAGGTGCCGCCAATATCGGTCGGGTAGGATGTTAATGGTGCAGGGCAAGCTGTAGAATAACAGCCACAGTCTCCACTCACTCGCCTTCCAGAACCCACGTTCCGAAAGGGCTCGTGGCAGTCGTGTGAAGCAATGGGGTGGCCGTATACTCAGCAGGCGCTTGTTAACCAGCCTCAGAGAAGCTGGTCTGCCTGTAGGGAAACAAGTGAAGGGATAGGTCCTGTTAGGTAGTACATCCCTGTGTTATCATAGATTGGCTTTTCCAGAGATCCATTCACATGACGTGTATTGTAAGTTTGCATCATCATGCAAAAGCACAGTCTACTTTTTGGAATATTCATCAAGGTATTCATGTCTGACAGGATATCATAGTTAAAGAAGGTAATTGCAGTGTGCTTTGGCAAACTTATTGGAGCACTTCCAGGGCCCGTTTGCTCGAAGCACTAACCGCGGCTAAAGTTAGCCGCAGTACCTAGGAGAGGGATTTTGAGATCACGTGACTGGCTCGGTAGGGATGCGGGGAAACATGGCGGGTCCCCAGTGAGTGAGCGCCGCTCGCTTTGGAACTAATATGTCGTTGTGGTTGCAATATCGGGCGCGTCAGTCAGCAACGAAAGGTGCAGGAGGCTTTCGCTTTGCCTTACCTCACTTAAACCGCAAAACATGGGCAATGACATCGCCGCATTTTTTAGATAGTGTTTCGATTCTGGGCACTCCTAAGCCTAAATGAACGCGATAATTGTCGGCATAGCAACGTCTTTGGAAAGCGGATTGTTGTTAGCACACAAAAGCAGACGGCGTCCCAACAGATCTTTATTCTAAATTATCCAAGCACCGAGGTGCATGCTACGACTGTAGTTGCATGCGTCGCACGTGCTGGCGCCTGCAGTAGTAACTGTTCTAAAGCAAAAAGTATAAAACAAATTTTGCCTTGCACGCGCGTTCGTTGAAGCCTTATTATGATTTTTTACTTCAAATCTTTTATAAGAGGAAGGGCAGCGCGCGTGAGCCGTAGAATTACACTTGCAGCGTTCTCCTCGCGATGCTTGGATAATTGAGAAAAAAGTCTGTCAGGACGCTGTCTGCTTTTGTGTGCTATCAACAATCCGCTTTCCAAAGACGCTGCCATGCCAACAATTATCGCGTTCATTTTTAGGCTTAGGAATGCCCAGAATCGAAACACTGTCTAAAAAATGCCCATGCTTTGCGGTTTAAGTGAGGTAAGGCAGAGCGAAGGCCTTCTCCATTATTCGTTGCTGACTCATGCGCCCGATATTGCAGCTACAACGACATATTAGTTCCAAAGCGACCGGCGCTCACTCACTTGGGCACCGCCCATGTTTCCCCGCATCCCTACCGAACCAGTCACGTGATCTCAAAATCCCTCTTCTAGGTACTGCGGCTAACTTTAGCTGCGGTATGCGCTTCGAGCAAACGGGCCCAGAATATTTAAAAAGTTTTAATCACAAATCTAGTAACAAAAAAATTCTACTTTAAGGACAGTCTGTAGTTTGCCCCACAGAAGCTGTAAATACAAGAAATTAGGCAAAATGGTCTGGTGGGAGGCTTGTCCCGTGAACCAGCCACATGGTTATGCCGCAGTGGACCGCTAGCTATGTTACTGAAAATATATAGCGATATACATAGAAGTCACAAAAAAATTACCATGCATGAAACTTTATTTTAGGGGTGGGATGGAATAGCTATTGTCATTTATAGTCAACTAGTGAGGAAATGATTCTCAAACTATTTTGCCTGGAATAAGGAGGCAAAGCGGCCACATTTGAGCTGTCTGAGCTTTCCGATCACTCACATCTGTATTTTAAAGGGGCACTAAAGATGGTTCCGATATCGTCTATTCTTTGTCATAAATAGGGCTGTATGTTTTCGGTATATCCCGATAAGCACTGAAAAAGTAACCCCCGAAGGGTTTTTCTCAAAATGTGTAACAACAAAAAATCCTGAATAGTAGCTCACATGAAAGAAGAAAAACCCCAGCTTTGCGCAGCAAGAACCTTTCATCAATAGGCTTATTTGTGGTGGCCCTGAACACTGACCGCAGTGAACTGCCCGTAAGGCCACCTTTTTCTTTGTACATTGTTTCCATGTGCTTATCTGTGAAACAGCACATAAAGAGTTATTTTTCCTAAAAATGCCATAGATATGCATTTGCTTTTACGACATAAACCCCGATTTCTGGCAGACACCAAAAATAGACTCGTAAAACCACCGAATTCGGGAGAAAAAAAAAAAAAAAAACACTGCAAAAACATTCCTGACTTTGAAGAAAAATACACAGACGATATGGAACCCTAGTCATGACCAATTCTACAGGCTTTAAGCATTCTAAAAATTCAGATATTACAATTGTGCACCCCTTAATTTTGTATTAAAAATGTGATCAAAAGATTTCTTTTTTTTTTTTTTGCAATATATCGCAGAAATTGAACTATTGCCAGATGACGAACGGCGCTGTCAGAGGATCACGAGCGATTGCTTCCCACATGAATGAGCATGACTGGTCGGTTCCTTGTCTGCATGGGAAGCCATCGCTCGTTGTTGGTTGATGAGTGCCGTTTGTCGTTCAACTGTATTCGGCCTGGTTCGGTGGCGCCATCTGTAGGTCTGAGCTGCCGCAAACTTTGAGCACATTTCAATACTAAAATAGGCCGCACAGCAGTGTAATTTATTTTTATTTTTGGTATGCTTAGAGCACGTAGATCACATTGTGGCCATAAAGAGATGATCTCAAGAACCTTTGTAGTGCCTTTTTAAGTGCTTTGTTATGTTCCTTCTTTAGTCTATCATGTCAGAGTGGCATAGTTTAAAAAGGATGGACTGAAGCATCCGTTTGACAGAGGGCACATAAAGCAAAATACTAAGTTAGGGTAGTTGGTATTTCATCACAGATTGAATGCCAAAAAAAAAAAAAAAAAACAAGGACAGAGGGAGGAAAAGACAACACTAGGTGTAATCGCATGCTGCCTGTTGTTCTCTTCCTTCCTCCATCCCTGCTTTTTTTTTTTTTTGCATACAGCCTGGGATGCATAAAGGTTCTATATCACAACCAAATGACTGTTCTATCTCTTGACATTATCTGTAGCGAGGTAGCCAGCAATTATGCATGATCCGCATGGCTACGGTGTCACTGTTTGGACTTCTTGAGTGCTGCCCAATCATGCCTTCCTTACTCGCTCAGTGTAAACCATGTTAGCTATAAGAGTTTAAAGTCCTCACCGATGTAGAAAGATGCCTGTGAGTGGGATGAGTTGACAAGGAACTCGGTTATCTGCTTTGAGACGCCCTGGAGCACACAATGCATATAATCCACCGTGTAGCCCCAGACAATGTTAAATCCCATCAGGTTCGTCAGAGGTGAGGGCCCCTTCACACCATTGATGTCCGTGTTTAGTTCAACTGCCAGTTGTGCATCCCGAATTACTCCTGCTGGTGTTCGTTCTGGTCCAGGGGTCGATGATAGGTATCGCATGCCTCCTGCAAACAACAAAGTGCACCCGGACACCTGTTTTAGCAGACTTCCATAGTGGATGAACTGGATTTATTGTAAGTGGATCGAGATTTGCTCACAATCGGCCTCATACAAAATTTTAGGTCGAAATGAGACGTGTTATAAGAAGTCTGTGCTCAAAATTAAATTTGTTTTTTTTTCCAACTTTTCATATTTTGCAAACTGAGAGCATCACAATATTTAATTTCCTTTAGCTTTCGGAAATCTAAATGAGGTAACGAATAATAAGATCTGGTCTCTGCAAATTTAAAAATCGGAAAATACTGGGCTTAATTTCTGCTTTGAAGGGAAACAAATTGCACTTCATTACTGGCAGTGATGATTTTTACAACTGTAAGTTTTTAGTGCTCAATGTGTCTAAGTGTAATTGCATATATAACTATAATTAAAGAGACAGACTCAAAATATCATTGCTTCATTTTTAATTAGATATTATAGTTCAAGCCACCTTCAAATAAAAAGATTTGAGGTGCAAATATTTCTTTAATAGAGCTGTATTTTACATGAAAACAACACATGAATGGCTTTCAGATACTGAAATCTATTACGCTATTACCTGGCACTTGTAATAACTGAACCATTGAGCTTGCTCACCATCACACTTATTCAAGTAATATGAGCTTTTTTTAGGGTTTCTTTTCCTCAGAATCAAGGTGGTTGGTTAAATTTAGAGCAATGTGGACATTAAAAATGATCTATTTAAGTGCCCTATTTATCTTATAATGCATATGTTTTTTTTTTTTTTATTTATTTATTTTGTTTTCAAAAGAACCAAACCCATGTGGAGCAAATCTGAGATAAACATGAAAGTTTGCTCATCAGTATAGATTTCAGCCCTGTATCGCAGCCACCTGTACAGTGGCTTTTCTTACATATGACTGATTTCATTGTGGTACCTTTTGGAAACTGCACACCCAAATATACCCAGAATTTCAACAAGAATTGGCTCAGCTTTGGTTTCTGGATTTGGCTCTTCTAAGAAAAAAAATCACATATACTTGGTCTGAAACCTCGTCATTATGTTGCATCACATGCATTCAGCACATTGCTTATGCAGAAAAATGCCAGTGCTGCGACTGTTCCGTTCTTTGTGCCGACTGTCTCTGAGCTTTTTAGTAGGATCATCAATACTGTCAGGACGTGCTTGCGTTTCAACTCTTATTTCAGTCATGAGCATATTGCACAGTTTCTTACCTTCTTTGTGCTCAGCCTTTGTGAGACACCATGGACACCCAAAGAAGCTGTTGAACTGCATAAAGTTCTGCACTGCTGCTCGTGCTGGTGCATCTACGCAACAACAGAGAGCGTAAACTTTGCTGTGGTACGTCTTCATCATGTGGGTCCACGTGAGTGGCTCCATGCTGTTGAATTGTTCGACGAATTTGCCAAGGAACAGGGTCATTTTAGGGTGTTTTTTCCCAAACCACAGACCAGCAAGTGTTGGGTGCTTGAACCTTATTTCAGGAGGAAGTTCATTGATAATGAACTGGATGGGCCAGATTGAGTTTCTTGATGATTTGAAAAGTGGGCTGCCATCCGTATTGAATGTAATGGTCAGATCACCATACCGCAATGTTCCGTCTTCCCTAAGCTTTCTGTAAGCGGCCCCTGCTGTGATGTCATTGATGTTTTCATTTGCGGCAGTTGCAGCTATCTTCTCAAGGTTTTCATGAAGTGCCTGCCTGTTCCTTATCACTAGGTGCTGAATTTGATTCCGAAGATTCATGATCACAAAGAAGCAGCCATTAGCTCGAAGTTTCCTTAACTCGTACGTGGTGTTGCAGATCTCGCAGGTCATGTCCAAGTTCAGAAGTGTCTCACAGGCTTCACAGTAGTAGAAATAGTTAGCCTTGTCCTTGTTCCACAGCTTGCGGAAAAGGTATTTGGATGGTGGCATTGCAATGCAGCCGAAGATAGCGTTCATGATGCACAACAAATCGTCAAGCGCCGCCCAAGAGAGCGCATGAGCGATAACGAACGATGCTAAAAGCACGATGGCCATCATAACTGTGGTGCCTGAACCCGGCAGACGAACGTCGTCAAATGGAAGCTGATCGCCCTCACCAACGCCCTCACCCGCGCCCTCAGGATCGCCGGCCTCATCTTCTCTGTCGTCATCAGAGTGCACTTCGTCGTCGGAGCTTGGGAGAGATCCATCACTGTCCTGACTAACTCCTTCTGAGTCTTCAGCGGGTGCAGAGCTGCTGGCGTCGCTTGTCATCTCGTCGTAGTCGTCGGGTATCGCAGAAGTTTCTGGCAACGACTGTTCTCCGGTTTGTTGAGTTGTGCCAATTTCGCTCGCGCACCTGACACGGGGAAATCCACTGACCTGTTCGATGTCACGGCTCTCGCCAGCTTCGCGTGAGGAACCCGGGCGAGCATCCTGGCGCTCCGCGGAAGTTTCGGCGCTGGCAGTACTTTCCGCACGATTTGCCCGCAAAGCTCTGTTATGCCGTGTGGATCTTGGCACGACGAAAGGCTTCTTCCTTAAGTATTGTTTCCTTCGGTGCACTCTCCCCATGATTCTCAAGAGTTAGAAAGGCTGGCTGAAGCCGACGAGTCTGGTTTTGTGCTAGTGGCGGTCACCCTCTCGCTGCTCGTGACCAGACAACTACGACGCGCTCGCTCTTCGGCGCCCGACAGCTCAGCTCCTCGTCACTCGACACAGACAACAAGCATTGCCTGGTAACTTTAATCGCGCACCTGGCTGAAGGAGTCCCTCTGCTGGTTCGAGTGTTTCATTTGCGGTGTACAAAGGCCTCCCCTGCACTTCGCTTCACTGTGAACGTAAAAAGGAAAGCGAAAGCGAAAGCGAAACTATAACATGCGTCAATATCACGGGGGGTGGGGCTTGGTGGGGTGGGGTAAAGAAAGGAGAGGGGGGCGAGGAGGATTGGATTCTATTGGCTTTACAAGTTCTTTTGGTGCCTTTTTCTGTTGGCTTTGCTAGTTCATTTTTGTCACTGGCTAATTAATTTTAATTGCTTTCACTTATAATAGTTTTTATTTTTAATGTGTACGGCTGTGTACGTTTGCTAACAATACTGCATCCACCGGTTGAAACATTTTGCTGAAAAACCTTATCCATTTGTTGTCTACGTTTAATCCAAAAAGTTCCACGGCGCCTGGAAACAATGTGAACCGATCAGAAAGCGCGCTGCCAGAAACTGCAGTTGAGAAACTAAACATGTACGCGTATGTGAAATACCTCGATGGCGAAAAATCGATTTTGCCGGTAACTTTGATAAAAAAGTTTAGACCGGCGAGTATCGACGACCTCGATCCCACAGTCGTGAAGCTCGCCTACTGGCGCTCGGAGGCGGGCGAAGAGGAAAATTACTATCCGGCTAATATTACGATGCTCGGAGGTGAGTGCTTTACTTCCTGTTTCCCGCTTAGTTATTTGATGTTTCTGATGCTATCAAGAAAGAATCAAAAGATGACATCTGGGTTTCTGTTGGCGAACGTGCCTTGTATTACTTTTCTGTTTGCGGTCTATTTTGACGTACTCAATACTTTTTTTGCTTATTGTAACAGAGACCAAAAAAGATCTGATCAAGAAGATGCAAGCTGCCCGCCTAGCAATTCCCGTCATTATTGAGAATACTGAAGTTCGACCAAGAGTAAGTATTTGTGTGTATTGTATGGTAACCTCAACAGATTTTTTGCTCTGTCTACAGTGCCGTCCGACGGCACTCCACTCGCGCCTACAAGTGCCGTCCGAAAGAAACTCGGATGACGCGTGTATCACGGGAGCTCGTTAAAGGCCTGTCCAAGCAGGATACTACAAAACTCACGACTCCGGCAAATCGTGCCGCGCTCCGCTACCGGCCGTCGGGGGGAAATTTCCCTCCGTCAAGGCTGCCGGGGGGAAACTTTCCCCCGTCAAATCTCCCCCTCGCTTCCTCCACGGCGGCCTTGCTCCGCTCATCACGTGGGTCTGGAGAGCCACTCACACGCTTTGTTGGCTGTCGGTCGATCGCTCAAGACCTCCGCCGTTTTTCAAGTCCCGAAAACGGGAAAGGAAAGATTAGAGTGTGAGGGGGCAAGCCAGGCGAGCGCGCGTGGTATCCAAGGTCGTGTTATGGTGCCTGGAGCGCGTCTCCGACTGGTGTGTTAAGCGTCCTATGCTGCCCATACACCAAAAGTGGTCCCCAAGTGGCAACAAATGACGTCACATAAGCCGGAGTGTCATGCTGTTGACTGTCGCAATCCCGGTGGTTGGCTTTAGGGATTCTGGCGAAAAGCGCAAGCGAACGCGAGTGTCGCTGTCGTCACGGCGTCCCAGGCGTCCCAACTTTCGGCAGCTGCTACTGTGGACTGTCACAGTGGGGAGCGACCTGCAGCAGAACAGGCGTCTGCTATAGACACGACAGCTGTTGAGACACCGCCAGGGTCGCGACCGGCGACAGCATGACGCTTCTATGACGTCATCAGGCGGAAATCAAGGGACCACTTTTTTTGGCCGCGGTAAACACACCAGTCGGAGATGCGTTCCAGGCACCATAGTCTTGTCATCTTCCAGCACTTCTGTGGATTGGATTGGATTCCCGTGGCTCTTGTTCCTAACGTATCTCATAGACAAACAAACCTGGTTGGTTTGGAGTTTAATGAAATAAATGATATATTCTTAAGTTCTCAGTGTTTCTACATACAATTAAAAGTCTCACTGTTGCGCACTGCACTTTATTTATTTTTTTTTGAGCTACGAACGTGGATTTTGACAAAGAAAGCTGAGCCAGGGCGACCGAAACGCACCCTTCGACGCAAGAATGTCCCAAAGCCACCCGAAGCCTGACCTCCTTGGCCTTCGAGCCGAGGCGACTGCGGTACGCGTTGGCGAGGTGAGCCAGACGCAGGTGGCGTGTGACGTCAAATCTCACGGGCACCGACGTCAGAGAAAAGTGGAGGAGGCGAGGAGAGAAGTTGTGGTCGTGAAAATTTTCACGACTCCTTGAAAAATTTTCACGACTCCGACGAATCGTAAAAATAGAAGCGTCCGCTTCAATTTTGACGATTTGTCGGAGTCGTGCGTTTTGTAGTGTCCTGTTTGGACACCCCTTGACACAGCCCCCCGCCTGCGTTCACGCCGCTTCGCGGTGACGGTATGTCGCTGCTAATTACAAATTTATTGACTCATTTGGCCTCGCCGTATACGCCGCTTCGCGACGTCCAGCCGGCAAACCAAGCCCCAGTTTCACCCATGCACCTCCAGAAACGAAGTCCCATACCATTTTGTTCAGCGAAGATTCGTCAACAACATACGTTTTTTCAATTGTTAATCGTAAAAAAGAAATGTAAGTATCGCCAAATGCGTCGACAAAACAAACTTTTCGAGCAATAGAAAGAAAAATAAGCCCGCATTGGGGATCGAACCCGGGACCGCTTGCTTAGGGAGCACACATCTTACCACTAAGCTACATTACAGCTTAGAAAAAATTTTTTGAGAACTCGTTTAATACGAGATTTTCGGACGGCACTTGAACGCGTGAGTGGAGTACCGTCGGACGGCACTTGAATGCTCTGCAAGAGTGCCGTCGGACGGTACTCTAGACACTACATTTTTCTAATTCTGCTATATCTGTAACCGCTCCGCGTTCCTAGGCAAGAGAGTGCAAGGAGTTTGCGAGAAAACCAAGCAGTGTTTTTCGGGCTGCAACAGTAAACTAGACATCACGGCGAGCTCGAACTCTCCAAGAACGTAGACCTATCGGCTGAAGCAAAGTGCCGAAGTTTCAGAACGTTGCATCAACAAAATACAAATTTATGGGCAGTTATCGAAAATGTTTAAGAGAAAATGGGGCCGCAGCGTCTCCTATTTGTCTCCGTATGTTTGCAAGCTCTGTCTGCCACCAAATTTTGCACAATTTTGTAATTTTGGTTTTAAACATATTTCTAAATCAATGCCAGCTAACAGTGAAACAATATATTTAAGGGGCACTAAGAAGGTTTCTATTACCCTAGTTACACGGGTGCTCTCAACTGCCATTGAGTGAATGACAGTTGACTCAATCGCGATCGGCCGGAGTTACACAGCGGCACCAACTGTCATCGAGCCGCAGTCGAGCTCAACTGAGCTCCCCTACCTCAGTTCAACTGAAGGGACTTCCCCAACGGAAGTCAAATGGCACCTGTCGGCGGGACCACTGCCGTCGACCATTGTTTGCGAGGCGCTTACTGTTTTGGAATGCAGGGAGAGGCGTCTCGAAAAAATTGTAGCAGCAGATATTCTAGGAAGGAATAGGTTTAGGCGTCCGAGCTTCCGCTAAAACGAGCCACCAAACGAGAGAAGATTGCAGAAGGACCAGGTTTATAAATGGGCAAATAGCCCATTTATAACCTGCGGGCGGTAGCTTGCACCACCTAGACTAAAATATGTGCAACCTAGCCCTGAATCTGTTTTGGTACTTGTGTAAACGCCGCTAAAAAGCAACAAGGTATTGAACATAATGAATAAATAAAAGGTGTGTCTCCGAGTAAACTACCTTAGCAATTAGACTGATCATGTGGCACAAGAACTAGTTTTGTTTTAGCTTCAACTGGGTTCTAGAGAGCCGTGTAGCACCATCTCAGTTCAGTTTCAATCACAGTTGGGGCTAGGGTGACCACCCGTCCCACCACTTGTGGGACTGTCCCGCATTAAGGGCTCGTGTCTTGCGTCATGCGAGAAATTCCAGAATCTTCAGAATGTCCCGCATTTCACACTGTCGTAAAATTCACTCTGCAACTCTTGGTGCTGCCGAACAACGGGGCGCGGGGAAGGGTGGAGGTTGCTGGTAATCGTGGGAATCGCAATGGTACGCCATTTTCTATACAAGAATTGCGGGAACTGACTGTCATTCTTGCAGAAGAACGGATGCGCATGTGCTGTTGTGCCTCTCCCCTTGGTGGCAAAATATAGTAAAAGAAAATTGTTTGGCAAAAATTTAAATAAAAATTATCGTAATTACTTTCAAATTGCTGTGTCAATGTGAAAGAGTTGTTGTGGAATTATTTTTTTTTACTGAAGACAGCCACACAAGGCAAAAAGCCTGCAGCTCACAAAGGTAGAAAAGAACATAATGTTAAAATTGGTGTATGACCACGTTGATGAAAGTAAACGTTTGCAAGGATTAATAACCCAAAAAAGATTTACTGTTTCTTTTTTCCAATTGATGCAGAGTTCTGCTGCAGTCGATTTTTATGTTTTCAACTTCGGCACATTTAATAGCATATTTATCATTAAAAAGATAATACTGGTAG